ACTCGCAATACCGACTCCATTCGTAATTCCATCAATTACTCGTCTATCAAAAAAATGAATTAGTTCAGCTAATCTTCTTATACCTTTAGTAAAGGATATTACATAAAAAAAATCTATGTAACCACGATTATATGACCAATTATATATCACATTTATTATTTTACCCCCAAAAATTTTAATTTTATTAGGAACACTTCTAACAAATGAATTAAATAAATTAAAATTTTGTAAAGATGAATAAACAGGCTTATATAAAAAAGACGATATAAGAATTCCGAAATAAGCTATACTAATGGAAAAGGTTGCATTTGTGATAAATTCATACCAATCCACAGAATGGTTTCTATTTTTATGTAAAAGGTTTATAGACGGACTTAAGAATTTGGATAGTATATCCAAATCTATTCCTTCCTGATTGAATAACGGAATTCCTACGGCCCCAACGAACAATGTAAATAAAACTAATACAAGCATCGGAAATAACATAGTATTGTCCGACTCGTGGGGATATGAGAAAGTGTTTTTAGTGCCAAAACGAGCAATACTAATAAACGGATGTACCATACTTCTTACATTTTCATTACTATCAATCCGATACGTGTTTAAAAAATAAGTTTTTTCATTTTTTTTCGTAGTTAAAAAATCTAATAAACGAAAGCTTGTTTTAATAATTTTTTTTCCTTCTTTACCCCAGAGAGACATTGAATAGAACGAGCTATTTTTTTTGCCGCTGTAATTTTGAAAATAAATATTTAAATGTCCTTCAAAAGTAAGTAAATAGATACGAAACATATAAAATGCAGTTAATCCTGCCGTGGAACAAGCTATTATTGCAAAAATCGGTGAATACAACCAACTATCATTAAGAATTTCATCTTTGGACCAAAAACAAGCAAGAGGTGGAATACCACAAAGAGAAAGTGTACCTAATAAAAAAGCGGTTTTTGTAATTGGTACATGTTTTCTTAAACCGCCCATAAGAACCATATTCTGACTTTTATCTGGAGAATATCCAACAATAGTTTCCATCGAATGAATAATTGATCCAGATCCTAAGAACAACAATGCTTTCGAATAGGCATGAGTAATCAAATGAAATAAAGCAACTCGATAAGACCCCATACCTAGAGCTAACATCATATAACCCAATTGAGACATTGTAGAATAAGCTAAGCTTTTCTTAATATCTTTTTGAGCAAGAGCTAAAGTGGCTCCTAAAATTAATGTTATTATACCTGTCAAAGCTATTACATTTATTATGTAAGGTATAACTATGAAAAGAGGAAGAAGCCGAGCTACAAGAAAAATCCCTGCTGCTACCATAGTAGCGGCATGTATAAGAGCCGAAATGGGGGTAGGCCCTTCCATGGCATCAGGTAACCATACATGAAGGGGAAATTGGGCGGATTTTGCAACTGCGCCGGCAAATAATAGGAAGGCGCATAAGGTAACAAATAAAAAATTAACCTCATTATTATAAACCAAGTTATTAAATATCTCAAACAAATCCCGAAATTCAAAACTACCCGTTATCCAATAAAAACCCAAAATTCCTAATAATAAACCAAAATCCCCGACACGATTAGTTACAAACGCTTTTTGACAAGCATTCGCCGCACTAGGTCGTGTGAACCAAAAACCTATTAATAGATAAGAACACATTCCAACCAATTCCCAAAAAATATAAATTTGTATCAAATTAGAACTAGTAACTAATCCCAACATTGAAGTATTGGAAAAACTCATATAAGCAAAAAATCTCAAATATCCCTGATCATGAGACATATAATTATCACTATAAATAAGAACCATCATTCCAACAGTAGTGATTAATATTGACATAATAGAAGTAAGTGGATCAACCAAGCAGCCAAATTCTAAATAAAAATCATTATTGATGGTCCAAGACCATACATATTGATATACGGAATTGTTATTTATTTCCTGAATAGAAAAATGGGCTGAAAAAATCATAACTATACTTAACAATAAAACACTCGGAAAAGCCCACATACGGCGAAGATTTTTTGTTGCCGTTGGAAAAAGTAGAAGTCCTGCTCCAATTAACATTGGAACTGGAAGTGGAATGAAAGGTATAATCCATGAATATTGATATGTATATTCCATAAAAAAAAAATAAAATATTTTTCTTAATTAATTGTTTCTGATTCACCGGTTCTTATTTGTTTTCTGTTGAAAGGGGTCAGTTAATAAAAAAAAATTAAGATATATAAAATAAAACTTAAATAAAATTTGCATTCTAATTATTACGTATTAAAATAATTTATTTATATCTTTTATATCTATAGAGCGAGGATAAATAATTACACCAAAAACAGTGTTTGGTATGAATCATAAAGCGCATAACTTGACCCATAAAAACTATTTATTGTAATTGTAATTCGGTTATTCAGAATCATTAAACAATTTGTTTTGTAACTAATTGATTGTCTTCCATTACAATAAAAGCTATTTGTAGGAAATGCTATGATATCCAACACTTTATTTTATGTAATAAAAAAAAAAGGGGCAAATAAAATGCCTTTAATAATAAAAAATTATATATTTTGTATCTTTTAACAGATTAACTACTAGTCCCACTCGAATTTGATAATTAAAGTTGGGTGTACTTTTTCTTCGAGTTTGACCAATTAAATTAATTAAAATTAATATAATAGAAAATTATTTAAGTTTTTTAATTAAGCGATAGAGGGATTGGGTTATTAAACTTTTGATGTATTTTATTACATGTATAAATGTAACACGACGAAAATAGAAAGAAAACTAAACGCACAATCTTTTCTTTTTTGTTTGTATTGTATTTTATAAACTTCAATCAATTCTATTCTATTTGGCATAGGGGATTGTTGTTAGTAATATTTTATGCGATTTTTACACACCCCCCTTTTTTTTGAAGGGAGTATAATTTAGAGAATAAATAGATAGAGAACAACAGTAAAGAAAAATTTATTTTGAACAATAGCTGTCTTTCACATCCAACCGAAGAACCTATTATAATTTTTTAATGGCAGTTCCAAAAAAACGCACCTCTATTTCAAAAAAACGGATTCGTAAAAATATTTGGAAAAGGAAGGGATATCGGGCAGCATTGAAAGCTTTTTCGTTAGCGAAATCTCTTTCTACCGGGAGTTCTAAAAGTTTTTTTTGTGTAACAAATAAATAATAGTAATCAAACAATACAATAAAAAATCTGAATCGGTCTAATTATAAAAGTAATCTAATTTTGTTTCTAATTTTTTTATAAGATTTATAAGTTATAAGAATTTTAATTAACATCATAATAGTAAAATAATATAAATTTATATTTATATAAAATAATAAATAAAAATAATTAGTTTCATAATGTTTTAATTTAGAAGGTGTCTTTTTTCTTTCATTTCTGATATAGATAAGAATTCTGTTGTCTACTTAATTCGAAAAATTAATGGTACTTTTTTGTTTGAAAAAAGGATAAATGCAAGCACAAGGGTTCACCTTTCGTTTTAGTATATTTTATAATTTTCAGGATGGGGATTCTCACTTTCCCCATCGACTTGACTCAATAATAAAAATAAATTTATTTTTTAATATATATTATAATTATATATTAATATTATATTATATATTAAAATGAAGGGTTCGTTGAAACTAATTGATTTAGTTTTAAATATGTTTTATAATCTTCTAAATCATTATTTTTCTAAATTATTATCACTATATAAACTCTTTAACCCAATTTAATTAATAAAATCCCCTTTTACATTTTTAGGTAGTTATATGACGAATGTGCCAATTTTGAGTGATCTGTTTTAGATCCTATGGTTCGATTGGAAGATCGATCAAAATATAATATATATCAAAGATATAATATATATTAATTTAAAAATTTATAAAGTATTTTTTGAAGTACGGTACAATTTCGATAGAAATATAAAATATTGTTATATAATTGATACACCCATACTAATACCTAACTTAATTGGGTTGCTAAATCTTAACACAAATTCTCTACACAACGAAAAACACTAAAAATTCATATAAAACTAACTATGCAAATATTTACAAAAACCCCTTGAGTGTATCGCTGAAATTGTGTTATATAAAAATTATATTTTATCGATAAAATTCTTTTTTTATTTTAGATTAATAAATGATAAAATAAATGAATCATTAAAAAATGCAAACGAGACAGAACATTGTTTTTAGTTCTATCTATGGATTGAAGTCAAAATAATCTAGTTCCAACCGTAACATTTTTGTTTTAGGAAAACATAAATTAATAACTTACGAAAAACTACACTTTTAGTTCAGTTAAATAAAGCAAAGCTATGTTGTAGCCAGCATGGCTACTGCGGCAGCAGCCAAGATTATTGTGGCTCGGGTTGTCAACAAGGCCCTTGTACTGGCGGCACAGCTACCACACCAAGCACCAATAGTGGTGGTGGTTCTTCGGTGGCTGATATTGTAACCCAAGAATTCTTCAATGGAATCATTAACCAGGCTCCTTCAGACTGTGCTGGGAAGAACTTCTACTCTCGAGATGGTTTTATTAAAGCTGTCAACTCATATTCTGACTTCGGTAGACTTGGTACGGTTGAGGAGTCTAAACGGGAAATCGCAGCTTTCTTTGCTCATGCCACTCATGAGACTGGCTGTAAGATATTCCTTTCCTCCCCTCTCATACATACAATGTGACTTGTGTTAATAGTATACATACATGCACAAATTATAACTCCCCTCTCTCATTAAAAACGTGCATATGTTACATGTTGTGAAATTATATGTTTCACAATGTGCAATAAGAGCACGTTGTATTATACAACTTTTAGCAACATGCGTCTAGTATGCGTTGCCGAAATGCGTTTAGTGCATATCAAGTCTGAAAGTTTCTATAGTTGCTAAATAGTTTCCATGTATTAAGCTCCACAATTTCCGAATGAATTTCCTCATTATCATATGCACAGATATTTATGTCAAATAGTTTATAACCTATAAAAATTCAAACCCCTATTTCTCATATAAAAATTTGATGGGTCATGTATATTGTCACCATAAATAGAACAAACAAAAGAAAACACAGATGAACCTAACAAAATCACTTTTTCTTTTTCGTTCAGATTTTTGCTTCATAGAAGAGAGAGGCGACTCGTCAAAACACAGATGCACAAATATGTGTTTATATATATTTACATGCTTTACCATGTCACTCCTCTTAGTTAGTAGGAAAATGGATATTCACCTGCTTTCTTTTCCACACCCTGCGTTTTCTATCTTACATGATAACAGAAAGAAAACACAGATGATCCTAACAAAAACACTTTTTCTTTTGGATCAGATTTTTGCTACATTGAAGAGATAAATCGTGGAACCTACTGCCAGCCAAGCACAAACTATCCATGCAACCCCGACAAAAAATACTATGGGCGTGGACCATTCCAAATTACATGGAATTACAATTATGGAGCTGCTGGAAACAGCATTGGCTTGGACCTTTTAAACTCTCCAGAAACCGTGGCCTCAGACGCTGCTGTTGCATTCAAGACGGCCTTGTGGTATTGGATGAACAATGTTCGTCCTGTTGTAAGCCAAGGATTTGGAGCCACGATTCGAGCCATTAATGGTGCTGTGGAATGCGATGGTCAACGACCTGACCTAGTTCAAGCCCGGATCAACTATTACAATGATTATTGCACCCAACTTAATGTTGATCCTGGCACTAATCTCAGTTGCGATGGCCAACTTATTAATTGTTTAGAGTTTATCGTTAATTGCCCCCTTTAGTACGATATATATATATATATACACAATTCCCTTCTATTGAGGGATCCCTCAAATAATTTTATTTGAGGGACGCCCTTTAGAATACCATACAATTTTTTTTTTCCAATGATCCAAACCATCTATTTTTTAGGTCTTCATTCATAGATCATCCTTACAAAAAATTAAACAAATCGGAAACCGTTTCGACATCCAGTGCTTCAAGAAAGTACTAAAATTTTAATAACTCAATTGAATGGTCAAATGATATCGGATTCAAGTGATTTTTTGTAGAGATGATCTTTCAATGAGTATCTACAAAATAGACGGTTTAGATTAGTGAAATACAATCCGGAGTGGACCCTAAAAGGGGTGCCCCTCAAATAAGCTTAATTGAGGGATCCCACAATGGAAGCTCTCTGTATATATATATATATATATATATCAATATATCATGTTTTTTTTAAGGTTCCCGTTGACGCTAAAAATGAGGTTCAACTTAGATAGACGTGGAATGGTGGATGATATGTGAAGACGTGGGCCTTCAGTATGTGTATGTGCCTTTGGCAGGTTATTTCCTTCGGCAGTCAGTAACATTCAACCTAAATAAAGTAAATAAGCATGCAGAAGATAAGGTATACGTGGTTCACTCGAATGATGGGCTACGTCCATGGAGAAGGACGTTCTCATTATGATAATATTTGTTTACATTTGTGTAAGGGGATTAGACCCAAAGTTAAAGAGAAGAAGGCCAAGGACTAAGGCACAAAGCCAAAAATTCAAGGCCCAAAACCCAAGACCTAAGACTCAAGACCCTTTTCTAAGTGGAGAGTGGTCTTCTTTTATAGGTGAGGGGAAGTCTCCACTTCTTATAGTCTTCCAATGTGGGACTCCTTGCCTTTCTTAGAGTTGTGACTTGTGATAAGGCTTCTTTGGCTAAGGTGATGACCTTTCATAGCATGGCACGTGGCTAATCTTGCCTAGCTAGTTGCTCGGTTAGTCACGGTATCAACAGTAGTCCCCTAAGTTCGTGAGTAAGAAGGTACTTCTTGCTTGGGGATTTGTAATTTTAAATGCACTGGCTGAGCAACACTATAATTCATCTTTCAAGCCGTATAGTGCACTATCCTTAGTCCCGCAAGTCCCCGGGTAAGAAGGACATTTGAGATAGAGAAGTTGCAACAAAAACCCAAGTGGTTTGTAAGTCCTCAGTGTGTTATGTAAGGGTGTCTAAGGACATGATACTACGCCGAAGGGCGAGGGTGCCAAAGGGCATTATAGTATGCCAGGGGGCAGGGGGTGCCGACCGCACAAAACTTGCATGTCGCAAGAGAATGTGTCGAAGGGACAAGGGTGTCGAATGGACAAGACATGCATATCACAATGGAATTGCCGAAGGGAAAAGGGGGAGCCAAAGTCACTTTCATGTAGCAAGGAAAATTGCCAAAGGGTATGAAAACTTGGAAAGGTGCCAAAAGGCATAGGGTGTCAAAGGCACTTGCATGTCGCAACAAAATTGCCGAAGGGCATGGGAGTGCCGAAGGCGCAAGGCTTGTATGTCACAAAAGAAAGCGCGTAGGCATGATGGTGCCAAAGGTATAAGACTTGCATGTCACAAGAGAAAGTGTCGAAGGGCATTGGGGCGCCGAGGCACAAAGCTTGCATGTAGCAAAGCCGTGTGTTTAGGCACTAGGGTGCCGAAGGCAAAAAGGGTTGCCAAATGCACAAAACTTACATGTCGCAAAGCAATATGCTTAGGCACGAGGGTGGCGAAGGTAATGGGAGTTGCCAAAGACACAAAGCTTTCATGTCGCAAAGCAATGTGCTTAGGCACGGGGGTGCTGAAAGCAAAAGGGGTTGCCAAAGGCACAAAGCTTGCATGTCGCAAGCCAATGTGCTTGGCAAAGGGGGTTGCTAAAGGCACAAAACTTGCATGTCACAAGGCAATGTGCTTAGGCACTGGGGTGCCGAAGACAAAGGGGGTTGCCGAAGGCACAAAACTTGCATGTCGCAAGGCAATGTGTTTAGGCAAGGGGGTGTTGAAGGTGCAAAGCTTGCATGTCGCAAGGCAATGTGCTTAGGCACGGGAGTATCAAAAGCAAATGGGGTTGCCGAAGGCACGAGGGTGCTGAATGGAAGAAATGCATATGTGCTTTTTTTTTTCTTACTTAGGAAATAATACTAATAGTAGGAATTTTTTTTTTTTGAAGGCTCCCTTAAGGCCCATAGCAGAGCTGGTTCCATTTTTTTTTTTTTTTGGTGTGGTTGGAATAGTGGCAGACCCATATCAATTTGATGATTTTTTTGGGGTTGCCTCCTACTTTCAACACGATGCCTGCCGAATGGCAGGTGTGACATCACACATTTGGCGTGGTCGTGCAAGGCAGGTTGCCGATCGATTTTGGTGATCGCGGAGGTGACGTCAAGCTTTCCGTTTGGCAAGGGTGTTGCCAATCAATTTCGGAAGGTCTGGTTCTTTTGATGTCATTGTGACTTTTGGGCTCTCTTGATGCAACAATGGCAGTCAACTGGCAAGGGCGTTGCCGATGGTTGTAGATTGGCTAGGGGCTCTCCGCTTGATCTGTTGTCATCTTACCGATTGGTGTCATTGGAACAAGGCAATGGAGGTGTTGTTCAGTTTTGCTTCGATCGGTAAGCAAGTAGATAAAGACCTTAGGAGGTCATGTGATGCTTCTGTAGGAAGGGTTGCCGATGGTAAGGGCATTTCTAGTCAATTTTTGGAGGAGATGAGAAGTGCTTATGTAGGTCTGATTGGTGAAGAGGTGCATTGGAGATGGTTAAGCTCTAGCACGTGATGCAATTCATGGAGGCATATTGAAGTTGGCAGCTGTGTATGGTGAATTGGGTGTAGCCAATGGTTGTAGATTGGTTTGGGGCTGTCTCATACCTTTGGTGGATGTCCTACCGATGGAAGGTGACGTCACCCCTGCCATTCGGCAGGGAGCATGTCGAAGTAAATTGGGGGAAGGATGTCGCCCATTAATTGGCCGATGGTGCCTTGAGTTGAGTTTGACAGAGTGAGAGCGGTTATGAGAATTTGTGAAGCTTCCTTATCTGGTGGTTTGGTGTGGTGAGTGTGTTTCTGCGTTTGTATGCAAGAGAGAGAGAGAGAGAGATTGGCTTATGTCTCAGTCGATAAGAGGTGCCAATGGGCATGACACAGTTCTTCCCTATTATTCCTTACTTTTGGTCCTAGTGGTGGCTTTACTGGGGATGAACCCATTCTGTTTTGGGTGTCTAGATAAATTTGGTGGTATGGTGTTCTGAACCGTAGCCCATGAAAGAGTAACAGCAAGCATGGTTCTCTGAGTTATAAGCTTTCTGAAGCTTTTCCAGAAGTCAAGTCCCCCTGTGAGTTTTTTTAATAAGGGTTGTCGTGCAATACTGGGCAGAATTTTGGAGGTGGATATGGCTTCTGAAAACTATTGGCTGAAGCTAAATGATTAGAGATGAGCACTGGGTGCCAATCTATCCATATCGCTTTTCTGGTTTTCTGATTCTGAAGCACATGGTTGCTGTTTGGCTTGGCCAATTGAATCGTTTGGAGGTTGGAGTGTCGTACGGTGATCACATATTTTGGCTTCAGATGGCGTGGTGATCTCCTTGGCGTCTTGTGTGCATCGGCTTGTTGGGCTCTAATTGGTTCTTCTGCCCACATGCATATTAATTACCATATTGGCCCACCAATTGACCACATGGATTCAATTATGAAGCATATCATAAGCTTCTATTATTAATATATGTTAATATTCATATTGTTGAATAAGATTGTGCAATGAATTATTTAAATATTGCATGCTTGTATACAATATTTATATGTTAGAAGAGAAATCTTCTTTTGTGGTGAGGATGCCCATCTTATCTTGTGGTGACGATGCATGTGGGCATCCTTCAAATTGGAGCAATTTTTTCATTGGCCATGTGCAAGCCATGCATGGTGATATCCTTGGTGCATTTGAAATATTTGGCCACCCCTAAATTGAAACTCTTCAAGGTAACTGAAATGTAGGTTGCTTCAGCAAATACATATCTTCGGAATATTGGTGCCTTGAGACTCCTTGGTGGCTTCGGCATAGACATTGCTAAATGGTAAGCTAGAAGGTGATGGTTGGAAGGGTGTGTTGAAGGAAGGGAGAACGACAAAAGCTTCTTTGTATCGATTCCCACATACGGCGCCAAACTGTTGACGCCAAAAATGGGGTTCAACTTAGATAGATGTGGAATGACGGATAATATGTGAAGACGTGGGCCTTCAGCATGTGTATATGCCTTCGGCAGGTTATTGCCTTTGGTAGTCAGTAACATTCAGCATTAATAAAGTAAATAAGCATGCAGAAGACAAGGTATACGTGGTTCACCCAAATGATGGGTTACGTCCACGGAGAAGTATATTCTTATTATGATAATATTTGTGTTTGGGCCAAAAGAAATTTAAAAGTACTAGCCCATCTTCGCAAGGAAAGGCCATAAAACAAAAAAACAGGCTTCAATTACCAGCCCAATCCACGCCAGAAAACCACATCTTTTTCGAAAAGGATAGAATTGTAAAGAAACGCCAAATTAAAATGGCAGTTACAAATTAAGCATATCAATAAAAGAAGAAAAGTGAAATGGGCCCAGTCTACAAAACCTACCATTTCTCTTAAAAAGTCAAGGAACAATTTGGCAGACTTTTCTGAGGAAATTGTTCTCAAGGAAGCCCACGTGACTACCTAAAGACTTTGAAAAAGTCAACAATTTCAACTAGTCACAAAGGAATTTAACAGGGGATTAGTGAAGGCACTCTTACAGGAAGATTTCTCCAGTCTGTCACAAATAGAGGAGAAGATCAAAATCCTTTTCTGTATTCAGAAAATTCGGCAGACATCATTTCCAAGGGATAAGCAAACTATATTTTCTAAAAGGATAAGTAGAAGGCATGGATTTGGTTCAGCAAATCCAAAACAAGCAGAGCATGGGTTTTTACAAATATGAAAACCTCAACAAATTTATAGAGAGTCCTGATTAGGCAAAACATGTATCATAGTG